AACAGATGCATTCAAGATTGGGTTATAAGCAAATCCGAGGATAATAAATAACGCCGTAAGCATAGCAAATCCCATAAGTTGGATTGGGCGTCGACCCCATTGATCAACAGTGAATACAGTTACCCAATAACCAGGTACAGTTCCCAATAAAGCAATAATAATATTACCAACAGATGCGTTAAATAATGTTTCATATGGATCGGTACCATCCCCAAGGAATCCAATTCTTTTCAAAATAATATTGTTGTTTAAACCGATACCGTAAAAAGCCACATCAAGTACAAACCAACAAAAAGCTGTTCCGAATAATACTTTTCCGTTTTCCAATTTACCAAAATGATTAAAGAAATCTGAAATACTAGCTGTTGGTGCATCAATTTTAACGACGACTTCCTGTTCACGAGCCTTGTATTTACCAGTTTCTAATACAGTGCCGATATCTTGAACCGCCTGATTGACATTACGTTCGATATCCATAGTAAAACGAGGTGTTTCCGGAATTGTAAGTCGAAAGTAAAGGGCAACAATACCAGGAACAGCACCTATTCCGGTTACAATTCTCCAACAATAATCAATGTGTGAATAATCGGTTGGAGTAATGGTAGAATGGAAAGCTGCAATTGTTATAGTTGAAACTATGGCTGCTACTAAAATTCCAATTCCTTGCATGGCAAATACGGCTGACATCATAGCTCCTCTTCTTTTGGTTGTAGCGAATTCACTAGTAATAACTTTTTTAAAATATATTTGGTTACATGATATGAATGAGAAAAAATAAACTTATGAAAAATATGAAAAATAACTAACCTGCAGAAAGGGGGTAATCACCACCAATTCCGATACCCAAAATAACACGCCAGAAGATGATAAGGCCTTGTATAGAGAGAACAGAAGAATTTGATACAAAAGTATTTGGAGTAGTGGCAGAAGCAGTTGGGGAATAAACGTAGGAATTTGCAGTAAGACAACAGGCAAATGTAGCAACTACGATTATCATTAATTCAACACCGTACATCTATTAAATATAATTAATTAACGATAATTAACGATAATTAACGAGAATATAATTGATAAAAATAGATTTATGATAAACCGATTTTTAGAATCCCTTAACGACACTCAATTATAATGAAATCAATTAATTACACACCTTTTTACGACCAAGGATATCTGCTAATATTCCAAAAGCGAATTGACCAATAAATGTACCAACTGGTGTTGCAACTTTTATACCCAAATCAACATCTGCTGGTAAA